ATTCTAATCATAATACAGTTGAATATGATTTTGTTTAGTGGAATAGTGAATATGAGAATGAATGTGAACGTCGTATATTGATGTAAAAATGAAATTTTATTGCAAGCGTGACAAAAACTGATTGGATTGATCAATAGAATGCGTGCGATTGGATTGATTCATTCATTTAATCGACATTACATCAGAAACGTTACATTCACCTTGTTTTGTAGCGTTTCGATGAAGAGCATGAACAGCCTCGATGGGATTGTTTTGAGAATGTCATCAGTAATCCGTGATATAATCGAATATAATTGTGATATATAACTGATCAAGTCGAATTAATAATCCATGAATATATTTGCATTGCGCGTGTGATCAATAAGTGATAAACTATTATTTCATTTATAGTTGAAAACGGTAATGCTAAAGAGTATTCATATTTCAGATATAATTTGCAACGAATTCAACTTTGAAAATTCAATGAATGTTGGTGGTTTAGCAACTGTTCAGCCGATACAACAAAATTCCTCAATTAAACAACAACAAACTGCAACGCCTGAGCAAGTCAAGTTCGTTGGTTTTTGACTGTTTCACAAAAATAATGACCATACCATTGACAAATAATAATAATTATTATGATTAGAATAATGACTTGTGACGGTGATACAATGAGTGCGGCATCACTGGAGTTGCGATCACGATTCACGGGCTCGATCGAAAAAATGAAAATAATCTCTGAAAGAGCCAAAAAACGACAAGAAAATGCGAGACCAGCGATCATTAAACGTGAAAGAGAAGATCAACAAAAGTATCATCGAAGGTATGAAACGTTCCATTATTGTTGTAATATAATATCGCTGATAGGATTATCATCTCATTCAGTGCTCACTATTCATATTAACTTTTAATCCATTATTAGTCATTATCATTTCTAACATGAATGTTGTTGTTTCAATAGCATGTATTGTTTTCACGCTCAGTTGTAAAACCAACTGAACAATGCTGTTTGCCAGTGTTTTACACTGAAACAGGCTGCAGCAGCATTTGATGTGCATCTAAAAGGATGAATCGAAACGAAACGGAAACACTGCTATTCTCATAGACTTAACTGTGCTCTGT